TATCTCAAAAAACAAAACAAGCCACACACATTTCTTGTGTAATCATCCTGGAGGCCACATGGCTGAGAACAAGGTGTCACTGGCTGAGCACCCTATAAACCTCCAGAGAAGGTTACCCACCTTAGCCAGCTCCTGGTGGCTTTCTAGCAGTCTCTGATGTGCCTTAGGGAGCAAACAGATGCTTCACCCTGAGCCTGTGTCTCTCCACAGCTGTCTTCCTCTTGGGTCTCTTGCACTGTCTCTCCCCAAATCCCACCCTGGTCCCTTTCTTTCTGTGGCACTGGGGAGGGGACCCAGGGACTTCACACAGGGCTCCATCCCCGGCCCATTTTACTCTTTTATTTTGTGAATTGGAGACAGGCTCTCCCTAAGTCACTCTGTTGCCAGGCTGGAACTGAACTTGAGCTCCTCCTGCCTCGGCCTCCCTAGTGCTGGGGTGACAGGTGTGGACCATCACATGGATTTTTTTGGAAGGTTGAAATACTCCCTGAAGTAGGGCTCCAATCTGAGGTTTGCTGAAGTCCTGCCTGCCGGACTCCCCGGCAGATTTTAGGTCTAACCTAATTAATTAATTTACGTGGTACGGGGATGTGAACCCAGAACCTGCCCTTTTTATTTTTTATCTTGAAATTTAGCTAGGTTGCTAAGTTCTCTGGCTGGGCTCAAATTCACAGCCCTCCTGCCTCAGTCTCTCAGATGTATAACCTTTTTCACCAACAGCCTCTGCTCTCCTAGACAAGGAAAGGCTTTCTAGGGGACCTTCTTAGACTTGTGACAATCCCAAAACTGCTGTGCCTTTGGTCCTGTTCACATAACCCTTGGGTGTGCTATTATTTTTGTTGACATTGTGCAATTTTCCAAACATGGCGCAGGCCTGTCATCCCAGCACTTGGGAGGCTGAGGCAGGAGGATCACAGTGAGTTCAAGCCAGCCTGGGTTACATCATGGGTTTAAGGTCAGCCTGGACTACATAGTGAGACCCTGTCTCAACACACACACACACACACACACACACTAAAAGAAAAAAAGAGAGAGAGAGAGAAAGAAAGAAATACAGCGAATAGAACAGTGGCCTAATGGTTCATCTATGTTAGAGCACATGCCAGAAGTTTTTCCTTTACTTTCTTCTGGTTTTGTTTTGGAGGAAGTTTTTGAAGATGGAACCTAGGATGCTCTTTCACTTGGCTGCATCCCCAGCCCTTTTTTATTTTTTCAAATTTGAGACACCATCTGGCTAAATCGCCCAGGCTGGACTTGTGATCCTCCTGCCTCAGCCTCCTGATTAGCTGAGATTGTAGGTGTATCCCCCTGAGTCTGGTGCTATTCCATTGTTTGGAAATACAATATTTTATTTTTCCATTCATGTGTTTATTAAAAATGAGCCCAGTGGGGTGGCGCATGCCTGTAATCCCAGCACTCAGGAGGCTGAGGCAGGAGAATCTCTGAGAGTTCGAGGCCAGGCTGGGCTACAGAGCAAGATCCTGTCTCAAAAGAACAAAAAGTGAGGGCTGGGGATTTAGTTCAGCGGCATAGCACCTGCCTGGCAAGTGTGAGGTCCTGAGTTTGATCCCCTGTACCAAATAAATAAATAAATTTTTTAAAAAGCTGTGACTTATAAAACAAGCAAACAAAGAGTGCGTCAATTTCTCTCCCCCTTCCCTCTCTCTCTCTTCCCCTCCCTCTCTCTTTCTTTCTTTCCTTCTTCTTCTTTTTTTTTTTTTTTTTTTTTTTGGCTGGGAATCAAACTCGGGACCTTGTGCTTGCGAGACAGGTGGCGACACCGCTGAGCTAAATCCCCGGTCCCCCCTTCCTTCTTGGTAGAGCACATGCTTGCTATGTGCGTGGTCCTGGGTTCCAGCCCCGATACGGCGGCAAATAAACAGCGAATGAAGAAATGATGGCCCGCAGCAGCCCTTGTGCCCCACATGGAATCTCTCCAGGGCCAACACCTCGCTCACTACCCCGTTTCAAAACCAGGACATTTGCACTGATGCCATCTATGAACTCCATTCACATTTCAACAGCTTTCAATACCCGTCTGCTTGTGTTTGCACAATCTCATCTCCTGCACGGATTTGTGCAGTCGGCGCCCAGCTTATAAAGCTGCAGTAAATTTGTTTTAAAGGTGAAACTCTGTGACCACAATGGATGTGACCCGCTGTGAGGTCAGGGGCTCTAAAGAGGAAGACAACGCAAACAGCCAGTCTTACTACCTGCTAACTGGATGGGATGCTGTTGCCTGCCAAAAGAGTTTTGGCTTTTCCCTTAGTGGAACCCAGCCCTTCTTCCTTTTTTCTTTTTCTTAGCGCCGTGCTGGATGAGGTGGAGCATGCTGGCAATCTCTGCAGTCAGGAGGCTGAGGCAGGAGGATCTCTGTGAGTTCAAGGTCAGCCTTGACTCACAAAAGTGAGACCTTGACTCAAAAAACTAACAAAAATAAAATAAAAGCACTTGATTTTAAAAAATCAGTACATGTTTGCAGTGCATAATAATTACATACATGTAAGCCTACTTTAAAAAAAAAATTTTTTTTTTGACAGCGTCTCAGTAGTTTGCCTCCTGCCTTGTCTTCCTGAGTAGCTGAGATTACAGGGAAGCATCATGGTGTCAGGCTTGCTGAAAGGTTTTTGTCTTTTTTGTGTGTGTGTTACTGGGATTGAACTCAGGACTTTTCACTTTTGAGGCAGATGGCCACACTACTGAGCTAAATCCCTGGCCCAAGACACCCCCCCCACCTTTTTTTTGGTACCAGGGGTCGAACTCTGGTTCTTGCACTTGCAAGGCAGGCGGCAGAACCACTGAGCTAAATCCCAGGCCCTGAAAGGATTTTGTCTCACAAAGAGATTATGTGTCAAGAGGTCTACAACACATCAGTTCTGAATGAGCCCTCCAACTATTGAGAGTTGAAAGGGGTGGTTAGTTACCTGCTCCAGCACACCATGACTTTGAAAGCAGATCCATGCATCACCAACATCTGACTTTGGAAGAAATACTATAGCCGAGATTATATCTTCCCAAAAGGAAGCTTGTGTGTATCATCCCAGCACTCAGGAGGCTGAGGCAGGAGAATCACCACAACTTTGAGGCCAACCTTGGCTGCATAGTGAGTTCAAGGCCAGCCTGAACTACACAGTGAGAGCTTGTCACACACACACACACACACACACACACACACACACCAAAAAAGAACCCTGAGAAGGCTTGGTGTGGTGGTGCACGCCTGTCTTTCAGCACCTCTGGGAGGCTGAGACAAGACGATCCCGAGTTCTGAGTCCAGCCTGAGGAATTTAACGATTTAGCGAGACCCTGTCTCAAAATGTAAAAAAGTAAAACAAAACAAAACAAAACAAAAAGGGCTATGGTTGCAGCTCAGTGCAAAGGCTCTGAGTTCAATCAAAAAAAAAATCCTTTATAGATGGGAAAAGTGAGGCTTAGGGCTGATGTGAGCTGCCTTATGCTACCACTTACTGGTTGGTTGTGCGACCTAGGAAAAAATTGTTTCCCTTCGCTGGGTTTCGCTTTCTTTAGTAGCCTGGAGATGAAAATCATTCCTTTCTCTTAGCGTGATTAGAATATCAAACTCGAGTGCTCGCTCTGGCAGCTCGTCTGAGAACATTGGAATATTAAATGAGATCAAGCTGAACCTGAGCACCTACGGAAGAGCCTGACACCAGGAGCAGTCAGTAAAAGTGTGACATGATTCTTGTCTCGAAAGTTTGCCTTCGAGGTTGAGGTCAGCTGCAGTAAGAAAATCTTTGTTTGTTTGTTTCTTTCTTTCTTTGTGATACTAGGGATGGAACCCGTGGCCTTCACACTGAATGACATCCCCAGTCCTTTTCTATGTTTTATTTTGAGACAGGCTCTCACTAAGTCACTAAATTGCCCAGGCTGGACTTGTTTTGGCAGCCCTCCTGCCTCAGCCTCCTGTGTGCTGGGATTATAAGCGTGTGTCACCATCCCCAACTCCAAGTTCATTTTTATTAATTAATAATTCATTAATTTGGGGATTTTTGTTTTTTGGTTTTTTTTTTTTTTTT